ATAATAAATAATTGTATTCACTGAGTATTGATATTATTCTACTTAAAACATGACCGGACACCCGCGGTGCTGTCGACAAGGCGCATTAACACCTCGTTCGAATGCGAACGCGCGATCGCATAGATCGAGTGCATAGAGCGCGAAGACTCGAAGTCGTCGTGGGGTTAGAAGGACGAGGGCACGATGATGCCTCGGTGAAGAGTGAAGAGAGGGCAAGGGGGCTTTAGGAGGCGTGCCCTTCGTCCGAAGGCCCCGGGCACGTGCCCTCACCGGCCAGATGTATGTTTTGCAACCTGATAATGGACCGTCTCGTACCAGTTCTGGCTCCCCTGCGGCTCTTTTAGATCTCGTCGAGGCGATTGTAAGCCGAGCTTTTTCGCTCGAGCCGCTCCCACCCCATTATGTCGAATGTCCCCATATGGCCACTTAGTAAAACTAAAAGAAGTACACGGTGCAAAGAAAGAAAGAGAGAGAGAGAGAGAGAGAGAGAGAGAAAGGAAAAAAGAGAAAAAGAGAGGAAAGGGATAGAGAGCGAAAGAGTAGCTTGCGCGTTATTTTCATGAGCCTATAACATGTACGCTTCGACGCCCAGAAACATGTTTTATTGCAACATTGCAACACGAAACGATCGTAACGTCGCAATGGGGTGACGAGGATTTAGCGGTTAATACGAGATGTTCCCTCTGGTGCGTCTGCGACTAATACCGGTATCTAGTTGCAGATAGATTCGTATCTTCCGTATATACTAACACCCTTATTTCCAATTCACCCTCCGATTGTATTCACTCGTTATTACAATGCATTTGTCGCCAACGTACTAAAAATGATTAACTATTCTATATGAGAATACTTTGAGGTTACCTTTATAGCACAATATTACAAGCTTTCCTGACCTTGTTGCTTCTTAATTTTCCGAAACTAACGGTGGATCTATTGGATCTACTCAATTATAAATCTCTCGGTCAAAAATGTCAAACAATTCAATTTTTTTATCAATTTTTTTCGTCTTTCTCTCTTAAGTATATCGTTTTTATGTTTTTTTTTCTCTATGTTATATATCTCTTCACGTTTCATTACATTATGTGTTTTATGTACAAATTTGAATTATTTTGTTAAAATATACTTAACATTCATTTTTATACGAGTTATGTCATTTTAATTCCTTGAAATTAATTAGTGCCTTTTAATTAACATAAATTAAATGAGTAAATTAAATGGGTCTGTAAGAGAATTTATGAAGTAAATATGTTACAAATTTTGGGCGTCAATTTCGAAAGTTTAAGTATCTCCTTGATGGGATATTATTGAGTATAGTAGAATTTATGAAGTTCATGATCATTTCAAATATTTTGCGGATTTCGAGGTTTCTACGAAAGCGTTCGTAAAAAAAGCTGATGTACTAATACATTCAGTGCATAATGCGCATCTTTTTTGCATAGGCATCAGAAATATGATTTAAAGAGTTATACAATCTCATGCGTTATTACTTTACTTCGCGGCCATCAGGGGATAAAGACGAGGTGCAGGAGCTATTAGAAATTCCGTAAATTGAACAGGCGCGTCACGGTAACGTGCGGCATTTATATGACACCTGTAAACGAAAAAGTGAGAGCGCCATGTGGCATCCATAACGCTTGACGTGTTAATCAAGTCCCGAGAAAGCCACTCACGGATAATAACGCCGGTGGGGACGAGAATCCATTTTTACATTCGCTTCGCACTTCTATGATACATTGTTCTGTCAGGAGCGGGTAGAAAATGATTACGTATAAATCGTGAGATACAAAAGCGCGTCACGCGGTTTAAAGATCGATCGTAATGTTATTTCTGTCGAGATTAAATAACCATTGTGAGAGGAATTAATTTGATGCGCGCGAAAAACCTGTCATGATTACGTTCACCAATCTATTGCGCAAATTAGATAAAGTCTAATAGATATTAAAGAACATTTATGAAAATAATGCCCATTTCTATCAATAGATTTCTCGGTTTAATGTACTCTTTATCTTTTTTCATTCTTAAAACTAGAAAAGGATAAACTAGAATAAATTAAACTGGGAGATCAAAGTTAATCCACATTGATAAAAATGAACATAAATGGAATTTAACTGCAAATTCACGCGAATTAAAGAAGGAAAATCGGTGCTTTTTCTTTATATCCTATATAAAATATACCGTAGAGATCTACACAAGCAAATATGTATGTAAACGAGTGATTGATTTTATTTTTGCACTCAAAAGTAACGAAACTTAACTTATTTTGTAATAGATTACCGCGGTAAATTTCGATATACTTTGCCTTTTTCCGTTTTCCGTAACAATCTGCAGGATCGCTCGCAACCTCCACGAGACAGGGCCCTCGACCTTTCACCTTTTCGTCTTCATCGCCCCGTACGAGCGCGGACCAGTTTTCTCCGCTCTTCTCACTGCCGCTCTCGCTTCTTATATACATCTTCTTTGTCCTCGTATGGATCCTCTCGAGATTTGATCTTCACTGCACTGGCATAAGGGAAACGCAGATCGCTATCAACTACTGGTAATTCACTCGCGTACTTGTTGCATTCGAGAAGATCGAAAAGGGGGTCCGGAAAGAACTCGTAGTCGAACACCGGCTTAAACGGTCGTTTCCGGATTATCACCACGCACAAACTGTCTACAGTCATGTCGGAAATATAAGAGTAGTGAGAGTAGAAACTGTGAGAGTAGAATGGCGACATACAGATTTCCAAACGGGATAACACGAATCTATTGCGCCGTATTGGTCTCACGTTAATATTGCCGGGTGTTGCGTGACATTTCGTCGCAAATATACTATAATATATTATTGTGGTAAGAAAGAGAAAGTCATGTAGAGATTCACGTTTTATATTTAGTTTAAAAAAAAAAGAAAAAAAATTATGTACGCGCGTTTTGAGCTGTTAATCGAGAAATATAAGTACTAAATTAGAGGATGTAAGGTACTTTGTATGGACGTTAATTTACTCGACGCGAATAATTATTAAGTACGGAACAAGTTGTCAATCCAGACTGGAATTTTTAATAATAAGCGAGTAAGACGGCCTTAATATATTCATGGGTCAGTGTGAAAACGCACGATTAACGATTTGATAAAAAACACGATGTCGATTAACATGTATACGACCTGAAACTTTTGTCGACGTCGGATAACACGAGAATTGAATATATATACGGCATTTGAATTTAAATAATATGTAATCATTGCGCACGTAAAAAAAGTGAAGGGAATTAATGTTTAGCAGAGGATCTGATGCACGAGAAGATTTTCGGAGACTTGACTCCGATACTTTTGGTTGCGTTTGTACTCGATATTATAGCTGGTAGTGAGTGCGTTCGCGGCCTGTAATCATTTCGCCGCCAAGAGCCACCTACCGCATTGGTACCCTTGCCTTCCACCGTTCTCCATCTCGTTTCATCCAATTCCTCTTCTGCTCCTTTCTCTCGCGGCTTTCTCTCGTACCTCCGCATCTTCCTTCTCTTCGGCACACACCGTGGCTCGCAAAAGCAAGCCTTGCAGCCTAATTGCTCGGTAAACTGCGAAGACTCTGCCGTATCGGGCGCATAACACTGTTTCTTCCTCTCCCAGATTATTTTTTATTATAACAATCGAAATCGTTCGATTCGAATCGC